TGTCTTTCAATTACAGAAGGGATAAATTGGTAAGTAAGTCTACCATTAGGGTATGAATCCCATAAAATTTGCCATTTATTTAAACTCAAATTCTGCAATAGTTCTTTAGCTATTGAAATTTTTGGAAAGTTATCAGTCCAAAATGTTCCCAGATGTTCGGCAGGTTTGCATCTTTTGATATTGGAAAGGGCATGTCTTTTGGAAATTTCAATATCAATTGGCATAATATTAGCTATAACGCTGGCAGCTTCATAGGATACATCCTTATAACAACCACTAATAGTTCTAGCACATAGAGCTCTACAAGAGTTCAAATATCTTTCAGATCTTCTATAATGAATGTGATTTTTCCAAACTTCGAAAGCATAACCAGTAATAGGAACAACAGCCATAGAATAAATAGTCTGAAGGGCTTGCCAAGGGGGAGCCCATATGCGGGATAAATGTCTTCTTAAAGTTGAGAAAAGTCCTTTAGCTTTTAAACAAACTGTCTTTATATGTTCTTGATAATTCAGTTTTTGATCTAAGATTACACCAAGATATTTAACCGATTGTAAACCTCTTAAGGGAATATTATTTAGTTTAATAGAAGGACGTCTTACTCTTTTACCAGCAAACATAACGTAATTGCATTTATCAATCGAAAAAGATAACTTATTATCATCAGCCCAGCTATTAATACTATTAAGAGCAGAATTAGTAAACTTTTCTAAATCACCTCTATTATCAGCAAAAGAAATGACCGCAATGTCATCAGCATAAGCAAAAATTTTAATATTATTACCAAATTTGATCTTCAATAAAGAGTCAAGAGCAGTATTCCAAAGAAGAGGACCCAGTACAGATCCTTGAGGGCAACCTCTAGATAAAGTTTTATATCTAAAAGATTCATTAGAATCACTCAAAGATAAAGAAGTAGTTCTATTTTTAAGATAACTTTTAATAAAATTAACAGAGTCACAGGATAAACCCTTATTAATAAGAGAGTGAATAATGGTAGGCCACCAAACATTATCAAATGCTCCTTTAATATCTAAAAAACAAGTTATTAAAAATTTTGAATTATTTGTTTTGATAAAATTAGTAACATCTAAAATAGCATTGGTAGTAGATCTACCTTCTCTAAATCCATATTGATTTTTATCATGGAAATTTTGTTCAGGAATTTCATTAAAAAGAATTTTCTTAATAATTCGTTCAAGAACTTTGCCTAAAATTGGTAAAAGAGTAATAGGTCTCAGATTTTTTAGTGAATTATTAGAGGAAATATTAGATTTTGGGATAAGAATTAATTTACCATGTTTCCAAACATCTGGAAAATGACTAAATCTAATACAATCATTAAAGATTCTAGTAAGTAGATTGACAATAATTGGAGCAACGGTCTTTATGACAGTAGGAAAAACATTATCTGGACCTGGAGCTTTTTTGATAGAAAGATCGTTTAACAAAACTAAAACTTCATCTTCAGACACACAATATGGATCAGTGACAGGAATGGTTCCAGTTAATAAATTAGTTGATTCTCTAAAAAATTTATGATAGAAAGAGTCTTTTGAGTGATCATCTGAAATAACAAAATTATCCAAAATAGCCTCAGAGGATTCACCCAAGGTAGTAGAAAATTTACCTTTATATGGAATACTAGTAGGAATATGTTTATTATTACAACGATTTCTAGCTAGTTTATAAGGAAGACTCCAAGGGTTACATTCTAGTTCAGATATAACAAATTGGCTCCATGAAGAAGAGCGAGTTTTATCAACAATATTTTTAAATTTATTAGCAGCAGATTTATAAATTAACTTAAGGCCATCTTTCAAATATGAAGGAGCCTTTTGATAGGCTCTTCTGGATTGGTTTAAATTAATTCTGGATCTATCTAATTCATCATTCCACCATAAAGGCTTATTTAAAAATATTTTACGTTTCATTAAAAATTTGGTTCCAATATCTTCCAAAAGATTATTTAAAAGTTTGGCTCTTAAATCAATATGATAGGTAGTAGGATACCACAATAATGTATCAATTTTAGAAATGCCAATGATACAAGCTTCAATAGCTTTAACAGTGTCTAAAGCCTTTAAAGATCTGGACCAAGTATATTTATTAGATTGATAAAAATTATTATTTAAAGAAAGAGAAAATGATAAAACTCTATGATCACTAGGACACACATCCTCATTAATAGTCCAATCGTTAATATAATTAAGTAAAGATGATGAACACAAAGTAATATCAATATTACTTTCGCCAAGAGTGGAACTAAAAGTTTTAATAGATGAAGGAGAATTTACAACATGCAGATCACAACCCAGTGCAAAACCTTCAAAAAGTTCACCTCTAAGATCAAGAGTGTCGGAATGCCAAATTGGATTTTTAGCATTAGAGTCAGTGCCAATAATACATGGGAAATTAATATTATCAATAATAGGAGTAAGTAGATCTAATTTATTAGTAATATCTTCATTTGGAGGTAAATAGGCGCTGATAATAAGGGTTTTTAAAGGTCCACACTCAATCGTGATCGCAACAATACAACTCGAATTATAATTTTGTAATGATAAAATATCCAGACAGCCATTAAGGATAACGATACACGATAAAAATGGTTCACTATTGTATGCAATAGTTCTAAAATGACCAATGTTGGGAATAACAAATTTATTATTTATTTTTGAAAAGACGCAATAGGGTTCCTGTACTAAAACAATATCAAAATCAGCAATAAATGGAGAGTTAAAGAAAGAAAAAGATGCGTTTTTGGAATGATGTAAATTAATTTGGCAGAAACGTAATTTATTTAAACGTTTATTACTCATAATCAGTATTTTCAATAAGCATTTTGATTTTTCTTGTATGAGCAATACATTTATCAGAACCTGGGATATGTTTCAGGTCACAATTAATATTTTTGTACAAAGAACAACAAGCACATTTTAGGAAAGCGATATTATTGGCATTGGGACAGTCCCTTTTATCATGATCTTCAGAACAATGAGCACATCTAGACGTAGTAGATAAACATTTTGAGGATGTGTGACCAAATTTAAAACATTTATAACAGATAGTAACTCTGATACGGTCTTCAAGTCTACAATTAGACCATCCAATACCGATGTATTTAAGATCGAGTAAATCTTTCCTTAATATAGGTGAAACTTCGATTGCCCAATGGACAAATGGTTTATTTCTAGCTCCAAATTTATGAATAGCTTTGATATCATTATTGTTGTATTTAGAAGATAGGCCATTTTGATTTAAAATAGTAGAAATTAAATCATTATCATTTAAGTTAGTGGGAACATTAAAAATAGATAATCTAGGACGATTTTTTGTAGGAATAGAGACTTTTAAATTTAAATTAGATAGTTCAGAATTATTTAATAATTTATCAATATTTTTATTGTGAGACTCAATAATAACATTTTTGTTCTTAGAGAAGAAAATCTTTGATGGTACAAAACCAATTTTAGCTGGGTCAATATTCTTTAGAACACTGCTCTTAACTTCATTAGCCGATGGAAATTTACTTTCATCAATAGGAGAAATTTCAATTTTATGAATAATATTGGAATTAACAGTTTTCTTATTATTAACTTTAATTTTAGTATTTTTAACAATTTCAGAAAATGAAGGAGTAGAAATAGGAATTGGTAATTTAATATTTTCAACAGAAGATTTAATCAATTTCAAATTATCATTAAGAGAAGAGGATGCAAGCATAATTTCTTTAGCCAATTTAAATTCAGATGACAATTCTAATAATAAAGATTCAAATCTTTTTAAAGCCTTTTCTTTATTATCCCTTTTAAAAGTAGAAGATTCAAATAAATTTAAGCCATCTTGAATTATAGATTCAATGTTTAAAATATGTAAATTATTTTTTGATTTTAAAAATTCAGAAATGTAGTTAGATCCATCATTAGAAAATTTAAAATCTTCAATAGAACAAGGATTCTCAATTAAGTTTGATATAATATCGTCATTTTGTGATAAATCAAAATTAGACATTTTTTTAAAATAAAAAAAAATAAATGTAAAAAAATAAAAATAAAAATGTAAATATTTAAAAATAAAAAGGGCAAATGTAGATTAATATATAAAATAAATAATTAAAATAAATTAATTAAATAAAAATGAAATGATCTGTCCTTAAAAAGGACAGAGTAATGGACCGAGGCAAAAAATATAATTAGAAGTTAAAAATATATATGGTTGGTATTGAACAATCGATGTATAATTTAAGGATATAATTTCAAAAATATTTAGGTAAAAGTCTGTCAAAGAAACAGCTGTTAGTAAAAGTAAGGTTATAGTTAAATGTCAATGTCTAAATATTCCAAAATTAAGTTAAATACTCTCACCAACAGTAGTGTAGCTTCTTTAGCAGTTGCTTTATTGGCAGTATTTTTTCTTTTGGTCAAAATCTATATATTTATCAATATTTTTGCAATAATTTGTAGAGCTATTTTTGACACGTCTATCAAAGTCAATACCAACCATATAGTGGTATTATTTATATGGGTTACACGGAACAAACGAACAAAAATTCAAATTTACCGCTCTATCACGAAGTGTTTATTTTTTTATGGTTAAGTGTTGACATCGCAGTAGAGATACAAAGCGGGTACTGCAGCGGAAGTGACCCAGACAGGTGACGTAGCGCGTTGGGTTGGTAGCGCTGTTTTCCGAAGGTGGCGCCACCTATAGATAAGCGATAGAAAAATTTCTAACTAGAGATAAGGGAAAGGAAACTGGTGATAAGGGGGTGGGCGTGACTTAACAGTGTAGCTTCCAAAGGGTTCATTCTGGACTTTTGGTCCGGTACAGGGTCGGTCACGGGGGACCTTTTGCCCTGAACCTTAAAGTTACGTTACTATAAAGAGAATGAAATGTTTTTTTAGCAAGCTTAAATGAAAGAATGACTGAGGGTCCTGATTGATTTATACCTAAACTGAATTGAAACCATATGAACAAGAAAGTGAACCGCCAGCGGCCTATTCTTTATCTAGCAGGGGACTGCGTCTGGAGAGCTATAGAGCTAACCACACGACAGCGTCTGCCTATGCTTGCAATAATTGAGTGACTTACCGTAAACACGGGTGGCTTTGGCTCACTTTCAAACTTCAGCTTAAAATTTTTGTAGTTTTAACAATCATAAACATTAAATTTTGTATACCAAAATTTGAGTCTTGAGTTGCTCTTTCATAATAACTATTTTATAATATAACATAGGGCTGAGTTTCAAAAATAAACATTAAAAACTGGGTGTGCAAAGTTACCCCCTGGTTGCGGGTTACTTTGTCTCACAGTGTTTTTTCAGTATAAAATGAATGTAATATTATATTTTATTTTTATTAGACACGTGTTAGCAGCGACATATATCTATTGCAAGGGATTACCAATAAAAAAAATAAAGAATCGACCTGTAGTTAACCAAGGATCATCATTCCAATGGATTGCGCAAATTTTAACGCGTGTATTTCTAGAGTTTTGCACTGATACGATATATACAATTTTAAAGTGTAATAAATTCCATTTCTTTCTTTAAAACACTGATTTTCCTGTAATATAAACTCAATAGAATCGCTCAATTGACAGGTTTAGACCAACAAATTATAAATGTTAATTTTATCGAGCGCGAAAAGATTTTTTATAAATGGGTTAAAGTCACCCGCGGGGTGCAAAGTCACCCGTATTTACGGTACTTGAAGAGCTAGAAAAATAAAAATTTAGGGTCGCAAATTCTGACTAGGAATTAAGGAGAGAGGGAAAAAGGCGATGATCAACCCGGGTCCAGCGTTCCCAGAATACCTCGGTGGAGTCGTCTGTTATTTGGATTATAATCAATAACTTCATTGATCAGTGGGTTCGGAATAGTTCTGATTCGATCCACTGTGCTGCTGGTTCTAGTCTCAATTAGTGTTGCCATGGGAGGGAGATTTAGGTCCGTGCGAAGCTGTTAGTTGCGGATGAACCAAGGGGCTCCTGTGATCAGTCTCATCACCTTGTTTTGGACAGAGTCCAAGCGCCTTTTGTGTGTGATGGCAGCTGTAACCCACGCCGGGCAGGCGTACATAAGAATGGGTCTGATGATCGATGTCCAGATAAGTCGCCGGTTTTTCAGGGAGAGTTCGCTTTTTGGGTGGAGGAGAGGCCTAAGCATAGATATTACTCCGTATGACTTGTTGATAGCCCCTGTTATATGCGGCCTCCAAGTCATCCTCTTGTCTAGAATTGAGCCCAGGTACTTAACCTGGTTCGACCATACCACTGGCTGGTCCGAGTAGGTCAGGGGGGGTGGGAGGACAATGTTGGGGCCTTTAGCGGAGATGATGGCTTGTGTTTTTGCTGGGTTAATTTCAACCCTCCATCTTAGAGCCCAGTCTTCCATTAGGTCCAGGCCATGTTGCAGTCGCTTCTGTATTTCGGTGGATCTTCTGCTAGAATAGTATAGGGCAGTGTCATCCGCGTACATGGCCAGTTCCAGGCCAGGAGGGTGTGGGATATCCGCCATGAAAATATTGAACAAAGTGGGGCCTAGTACGGAGCCCTGAGGGACGCCGTCTCGAATCTTGCGCGATGTTGAAGTGGCCATTCCAACGGAGACTGAGAATGTGCGGTCTTGGAGGTAGGAAGCCACAAGCTTCGCCAGTGGGGAGGATATGCCTATGTTGATCATCTTCGCTATAATACCTGGGTGCCAGACGCTGTCGAACGCCTTTGCAATGTCCAGCAGGACCATTCCTGTATTCCGCTTGTCATCGCATCCTTTGGTAATATGATTGGAGACCCTAACCAGCTGGAGCTCTGTTGACAGGAGTGGTCTGAAGCCAAACTGCTCATGCGGGATTGCGCCGTCCGCCATCTCCGAGTCAATCCGGTGTTTTATGACTCTCTCCGTGATCTTTGCTATCGACGACAGTAGGGATATTGGGCGGTAGTTGGCCGGGTGGACCGCGTTCTGCCCCTGCTTAGGGATCATGATCACCTTTGCGGCTTTCCACGCCGTAGGGAAATGTTGGGTCCATAGTATGCCGTTGATTACCGAGGTCAGGTGAGAGATCATGGGCTGCGGGAGTCTCTTGAGTGCAAGGTTCTGAATGTTGTCTTTGCCTGGGGCAACCCTTTTCTTAAGTGACCCGACTATGCTTGATACTTCTTCCTCGGTGGTTTGAGAAATGGAGGGGTAGTCGGCCTCACGCAGGTGCCTTACTGATCGCCTGAGTATCCTGTAGTCCTGATATTCATCGAGTCCTTCATGGGGTTTGAAAGTACTCTCCAGATGGTCCGCGAAGGTGTCTGCCTTCTCCTCCTCTGAGTATACCAGTCCGTTGGGGCCGTGTAGGGGTTTTATAGCCTTGGACTCCTTGGCCTTAAGATTTTTAGCCAGCTTCCACAGTTCAGGGGTCGCCGTGTCCATACAAGATAGTTTTTGTGTCCACATATCATCGTCTGGCCCGTGAACATCCCAAGATTTAGTTTGGGCGAGTTGTAGCAGCCTCCTGCCGTAGGTGTTGGTGGTCCTGCTGTTCCAGGCAGGGTTTTTGGCGTTCATATCCCCCGCGAGGATGGTGGGGATGTTTTCCTCCATCAGGGTGGAAATGTCCTCGTCTGGAAAGGGTCTGCCAGGAGGAAGGTAGCCGCTAATAATTTTGAGTCGGCCACAGAAGGCCGTGTCGATGTAGATGGCAGTTGACTCAATGGTAGCTGGAGGTAAGTCTGGCACCGCGCAGTGAGAGAGGTCGCGTCTAGCAAGGATAAGGACGCCCCCTCCTCCGTCTTGGTTTGGTCTGGGATGGCTGTAGGTGATGTAGTTGGCAAAGTTTATGGTAGCGTTCAGTTTCAGCTTGGATTCTCCAATCAGGACCACCTCAGGGAGCTCCAGGCAATGACTTTCACGTTGGTAGGCTTGCTCATAGTTGATGTTGGGGGGTGAGCCTGCTGATTAGGGCCTCCTGGCTGGCCATGAGTCCCTGGATAGCGGAAGTGAGGGAAGAAAGTATTTTAGTGATTTCCTGCTGTGGCGGCGGCTGTGGCGGTTGCCATGCAGGGGGGCCCTGTGGTTGGGCTGGTTGTGCAGCCACTACTTGACTGTATGTTCCTGTTACTCTGTGGGCCGTGTGGATGGCTGCCTGTTTTGTTCTGGATCTTTTGGGACAGATAGGGGCATTGGCTGTGTGCCCCCCTCCGCAGTTGAAGCATTTGGTGGGCGCGTTAGCTGGCATATTACAGTCCCTTGAGTCATGTCCTCCAGCGCATTTGAGGCACTTGGGCAGGGCGGTGCATCGCGCCTGGGTGTGGCCGTAGAGTTGGCACCGGTAGCATTGGCCAACGTTTCCAGCGCGGCGCAATGCCTCTATCTTCACCTTGATAGAGCAAAGGAACTCAGTGTCGTAGAATGCGGCCTCTTCCTTGGGCAGTTTAACCAGGATAAGTGGCATGACTTTGCGTTCCGCGCCTGTTTTCATTCTGATTGCGGATTGTGGGTGGAATCCTCGTTCCTTGATTTCGGACACAACTTCCTTGATGTCTATTTCCTGCGGGAAACCGCGGATGACAACCTGGAGCAGTTTGTCCTCCGGGAGCATATACGTGTGAAACTGCTCACCGTTATTTTGGAGAAACTTGGAGATTGCTCGGAAGGAGTCCACAGTGTCCGGGAAGAACTTGACGCCTTCCGGGATGTTGACGGCCTTAGAGAAGTGCCAGCCCTTCTTTTTCAGTTCCTTGGACACCATGGTCCAGCGGTCCTTGGTTCTAAGAATTATGGGAGGAATCTGATTCGTGGGATTGGGTTGATCCTGGTTTTGCTGTCCTGGAGGATTGGACTGGTCTGGTTGTTCTTTACTTGGAGGGACATAGCTGGAGGTGGCCGCGTTCTCTGCAGGGACTGTCGCAGGAGTAGTCGTAGCTGTGAGGTTCGTGTCCATTTGTGACGCCTGATTACTTGTTGAGGGCACTGAAGGCGGGACGTCCAACGGGACGTCCAACGCCCAACGGGAGGTTGGCAGCATCCAGGGAAGTGCCAGGTTGTTCATGGGCCATCGATTGGGACAAGTAGCTTGGCTGATCAGGAGGGGTGTATCCCAGCTTGGGAATCTCGCTTTGGGCTGCCAGAGACTCTTTGGGCTTTGTGGGAGAGCTCCCTACTCTTTTCCTTTTGTTGGTGACTTCATACGATTCGTCGTCATTAGAGGGTTCAAGTTGAGCATGTTGATTTGCAAGCACTTGGGACAGCTGGATCTGAAGCTGTTCTATCTGGCCGCTTTGTCTATTAAGAAGATCAGTTTGGGCAGCCAGTTGTTTGGTCAATTTGTCTACAAGTACAGCCAGCCTGGTGTTTTCTTTTGCCAATCGGTTTTCCAAATCAGTGTTAGTTTTGCGACCAGATTTTTGGATCTGGACAATTTTCTCTTGGATGGAAGGAGAGATCTTACCGCTTGGGTTCCGATTCTTTTGGTCATCAACTTTATGGGTGTCGTCATTAGCTTTCTCTGATTTTTTTTTTTTGGTGTTTATTTTTAGGAATCTTGGTGTTTATTTTTAGGAATCTTGTAGAAGGAGGTTACAACGAATTAGTCAGAATTTATTTAAGAAAAGTAAAAGAGTTAAACCAAAAAATAAAAAAAAATTGGGTAAGTCAGGTTTTTTATTTTAAAAAATTGTTGTTTTGGGGGACAAAGACAGTGTAAAACACTTAAATTAGGGGATGCACGAGGTTAAAATAAGGGAAAACTTAAGAATTAAAAGATTTTATACGATTTAGAATCAGTAGTTGCACCCAACGGCGTAAAATAAACGGGCAGCCAATGGGATGCCGTGGTGCAGTGGGCGGAGCTTGTGAGCTCTGTTGGAAAGGTTATAAATAGGAGTGTTTCCAAGCGCTGGTAGCAAACCCTTCGCCGCGGCCGAAGGCTACGGAGCTCAGCTACTCATGCGCGTAGAATGAATTTGACTTTGCAGTGAACAATGATTAAGAAATAAATATGGTAGTATGTAGTAATGTAACAGATAAAATAGAAATAAGGGACATTCATGGTAAAATACGAAATTCAAACATAATAAACAAAAATAACTAACCTCGTGCAATGACAAAAATATTGGGCATAATCACAAAAATATCACAAACTAGGCGTTTAAAAACGCAGTTCTAAGCTAATAGGGACCGACGCCTACTCAGTTCAGCGTCGCGACGCGTCGGTGTGACCTGTTCGCTTGAATGGTTGTTAAACAGTGTGAAACTGGTGATAAGGGGTGGGCGTGACTTAACAGTGGTTTGGTCACCTGGCATCCGCTATTTGGAGATAAGGATTTATTATTAATAATATAAATTTAATTTTTAACGCCATTTTGAATTGTGACGTCAATTTTTTAGAGATAAGGATATATTTTGAATTAATATAAATTTCATTTTTGAAGCCATTTTGAATTGCTGATGTCATCCGACTTGTCCTAACAAGTCTATTTTTAATCCCAATGACCTGAGACCACCCCTCCCTTTTTTAGTCACGTGACCAATGGGAAAAATGCGCGGGAAAAATCATTGGCTAGCTCCAGAGGCCTTTTTTCACAATTAGGTGTTCAGTCCTCCGTCCGACCTTTTTTATTAAAATAAAAATTTTTTAAAATATTTTTGTGTACCGATCGGTACTCGGGAACCATCGGTTTTAATTTTTTTCATATAAAGTTAGTTGTTTTAAATATAATGATCAGTCTTAATATTGCTTTATGTTGAGTATTAATAATGGGTTTTAAATTGTTATTATAATATTATAATATTATAATATTTCTGCTAAGTATAATCTTAGTAAAGTCAACAAATTTAACTGATAAAGATGCTGTAATAAAACATCTCGAAGCATTTGGCTACCTTAATACTTCGCTGACTAATTATGAAGAAGCTTTAATGTTATTTCAGGAGAGATATACCTAATTTAAACATAAGTGGTGAAATATCGAAATAACTTTTAAAATTTATAAAAACACGTCGTTGTTCTATACCAGATGAAAATATTTATGAACTGACACAAACCCAGCCTAAATGGAATAAACATGAAATTTATTGGTATGCTTATAATAAAGAATCAAGAAAAGTTGTTTCTAGAGCTTTTTATGAGTGGCAAAAATTTGTAAATCTAAAGTTTACTTATTCGTATAAAAATCCAGACATTTTTATTTCATTTGTAAGATATAATCATAGTAATTCAATTCGATGCATGAAGGGTGATTGTGGATACCCATTTGATGGGGAAGGTAATGTACTTGGTCACGCATATCAGATTCAGATGAAAATTGGTATTTTGGTTTTGATATACCTAAAGATAATGATAAAACAAGTTTATATACCACAATGCTTCATGAAATTGGTCATGCTTTGGGGTTGGGACATTCTTAAGATATTAATGCACTTATGTATCCATATTTTTCGCCAAATATAACAACCCTATCCAATGTTGATAAAAATAATATGCAAAATTTATATGGATTACCCCCAAAAACTACACCCAAAATAGTAACAACACCAAAAACAATCCCAACTACAAGGAAACTTACAGATAAACCAAGAACAACAAAAACAATTTTAACAACAAGCAGACCTAAAATAACGGGTTCTACGCAAAAACCTACACACACATCATCAAATTTAACTGATTTATGTTAAATCGAGTATCCACAACAAATGTTAGTCACAAATAATAATCATCTGTATGTTTTTAACAATGGGTTAGCGTGGATTTTAAATATAGGAGAGTCCTCTGGTATAAATATCAAAAGGCCTAAAAAAATTAGTGATTATATTAAATTAAATGATTTTTTGCATATATACCAAAAACCTAATGGTAGTGTGGTAATAATAGATAATTTAAATCGCGTTAGCTCGTTTTTTTTCCTAGTCTTGCGTATGAAACATTTAATCAAACAATAGACAGTATTGCTCAAAGTAGTAAAATAAATGCTATTTTTAACTCAAACAGGGGTAGAACTTATATCATTCATGATAATTATTGGGTTGCTGAAATTGAAGAATGCGGTTTAAATGTAGTTAATAGGGGGAATATAAATAAGTTTTTCCCAGGAATTCCTCCAGATATATCTTCAGCATTTCGCTATACAAATGGTATACCATTAAATGTTATAACATTTATTTTTTTAGAAAAAACTTATTTTATGAATATAACGAATTTTCGGGTAAATTAATAAGAGCAGGAGTTTTTGATTGGAGTTTATTTGGAATAAATTGCCCGAATGAAACAGTTTTAAATCAATTAAAAAACATATTAACAACTCTTTCAACATACTTTAATTGATAATTATAAAAGCTTAACTTTAATAAAAAAAAATCATTTCAATGTTGACTTTTAAGCATAAAGGTAATGGTTTATTAAATTCTGCAATTAACAACCTACCCTTTGAGCTTCACGTAACCTCTTACCATTTTTGTGGGCCAGGTACTAAATTAGATAAGAGAATTCAAAGGGGTGATACTGGTATAAATCCCTTAGACGCTGCATGTAAAGATCACGATATTGCTTATTCAGAAAATAAAAGTTTGGCGGAAAGGCATAAGGCAGATTGGATTTTGGAAAATAAGGCTTGGCAAAGGGTGAAATCAAAGGACTCTAAATTGGGGGAGAAAGCAGCAGCTTGGTTAGTAACAACTGGAATGAAGGTTAAAAGAAAACTTGGAATGGGTATTCGAAAAACTCGAAAACCAATCTCATTTAAACGGTTGGTTGATAAAATTAAAAAACATGTTCAAGATTTAGATATATCCAATAAAAATTCACTTAAAAAATCTGCCGCAACGGCACTTAAAGCAGCTCGGGTGATTATAAAGAAAGCCGGGGGTCGTAAAAATATTAAGGTGCCTAGGATAATTCCATTTGAATCCGACAAACAAGGAGGATTTTTACCCCTTTTACCATTATTAGGAGCTTTGGGGGCCATAGGATCATTGGCTGGAGGCGCAAGCGCCGTAGCCAAAACGGTGATAGCCACAAAAAATGCTAAAAAGAAACTTGAAGAATTAGGTCGACATAATAGGGCTATGGAGGAAATTGGGAAAAAAGGCTCGGGATTATATTTAAAAAGGAATGTCAAGGGGGGATATGGTCTTTTATTAAAACAAAAAAACTACCAATAAAGCTACCCAATAAAGCCCTATATGATTCTGAATTGGTAAAATATGCACAAAAGCTTAAAATACCCTATTTTAGAGGGGTTTTTATGCGAGACGCTTTACCAAAAATAAAAAATAAAAATGAATCTGCAATCCTAAATTTACATTTCAAAAAATTTGGGTACACATTGGGTAGCTTGTACTAAAAGAAACAATTCTGTTATTTATTTTGATAGTTTTGGTGGTCTTAAACCACCAAAAGAATTAGTAAATTATTTAGGAAAAACTGTTAAAATTAATTATAATAATGATTGTTTTCAAAACTTTAAACAAATTAATTGTGGCCATTTTTGTTTGTGGTTTCTTTTTAAAAATAAATGAGATTTTACAAAAAAAGTAATAATTATGTTTTAAGTATCGATTTTACGGGTAAAAAACACGAATCGGATCTCCCAGTTAATATAATAAAAGTTCGAACCATTCACATCGATTGTAATATATCTACAGGTGCTTATTATAATTATCTACCAACACACACAATTTACGAATTTTCAGTAGACGTTGATCCAGGCTATACAATCAACGAAATTCCCTCAAACCTTATATATTTACCAATAATAAATAAACAGGAATTATAATATTAGATAATTGGTAATTTTAAACCAAGATTTTAAGCCAGTTAATTTTCGTGGAGAGGGAGTTATAGTTCGTTTGAAATTAAAAAATTATCATAATGGGTTTAATATTTAACAATTATTATAAAAATCCCAGCACAAGCAAATTGAAATAAGTTGACAGCAAACGCTTGCC